AAAGCACACCAAATGGGCAACATCAGAAAACAAAGATTATGGAGGTTGCTCTCAAAGTACCGGGATGTTCCAGAACATTAAAGTTGTTCATCTTCAAACAAAAGAGTTTGGGGGGGTGGGGTACGGCACAGTGGTAGTACAGATCTATCATGCACAGAAGGTTCCAGATTCCGTTTCTAGCATCTCCAGTTGAGGGATCTCAAGAAGCAGGCACTGGAAAAGACTTCTTTCTGCATCAGAAAATCATTGCCAGTCAGAATAGAAATTAATACTGAGTTAGATAGGCCAATCACAATTTCATATAATAACCTTGGAAGCGAGTTATCAAAGCTCTCCTACAAATTCTATTATGCCAAACAAGCAACATATGGAGTGTTCTGGATGACTGTGGTCAGGCCAGATTCAGATATAGGCATTCACTTAAGAAGCCGAAGGCATCTAGCTGGCTTTCCTATATCAGAATCAGGCCTGACCAGTCATCCAGAACAATATAAGCAGGTTCCTGGGGTTCCTTTTAAGAAACTCCTAGTCAATTCAGATTTCCATACTTACAGATTTTTTAATTCATCTTCTAACCGTGGGTGTGTTCAGACGGGCCGTTATTGCCCGCCTCAGAAACGGATTTTATCTGCGCGATTACACGGTCAACATCTGCCTCCCGTCCCCAGCCATTGCCTTCTGGCTCAAAACTGCTTTAACCTGGAGTATTTTGATACCAGGTCCCCAAGTGGTGTTTTCTTGATTCTCCGGTTCCAGCCTCATTTTTCCCCTGTGTGATCGCTCCTCCGGTGTCGAGCCACTTCCGGTTTAAACCCCCTACCCGCTCGAAAGCTGCCCGAGGCTTCTGCTTTTCGCCCACCATTTTTTAAAAAGCGTTGGCGGTGTGCGCATAGGCGGAGGTCCGCCACAGGGTTATTAAAAACAATGTTTAAATGGTGCCCAGTTTTAGCCTTTAGACGAGTTCGGGATCTCAGGGAGGCCATTTTCGGCAGTAAACATTTAAAGGGACGTGTTCCTTTAAAGTTTAAAGGGAAGTGTTCCAGCAGTTGGGTTGAAGAGGAAATCGGTGTTCTACAGATGGCTGCCTGTGCGCATGCCCAAATTGAGAGAAAGAAAAAACAACACCAAAGCGTGTGGACGGTGGGGAGCAATGTGGCTGTGCAGCGATCCGGAGCAAGGAGGTGAGTGTGATCGCGATTCTCCAGGTTAAAAAAACACACACATGGAGCTGGAGCAGTTTAACCCACTCCCAGACGTCATCTGACCACACCCAGTAGCTAGCTGTCCCTCTTGGTAAGGGCTCACACCCTTGGGTTATTATCTTATAACTTTTTGCATGATACATTATCTTTACTTGAAATATAGAAAACTTGTTTGTTCATTCTTGGTATGTTTTATCTTGACAAAGCCTATTTAAAAATAGTTTTTACAAGCTTCATGTTATTACGATACACGTTAATATATTTTGGGCATTAACCAATATCTTCAGTTCTGTAAAGCCGGACATTCTGGCTATTCTCAAGATGCTTCTCCATCTGGGTCTCCACATATTGCATGCAATGATATAAGTTAGACTGTTTCTTACCTATAAGAGGGCATATAATTGTGTTACTCCTTTGTTTCTTCCCCTCTCCAAGGCTATACTGTTCTGGGTTTCTAAACTTCCTTTTGGAATGTTTAGCTTGACGGGCTAGACCACCTCTGTTTCCGGTATGCAGAAACATCTTCCGTGATTTTTTTGGTCAAGCCCAGTAACTGCTCCCCTATACACTCGGCTGTAGCCATGACAGTCACATAACTCAAACCACCTTATGTATTCTTGAAGCATTTTACAGCCCCAATTATAGGACAAGGCAAAATAATGGTACATCCTGACTCCCAGAATATGATGCACATTGCAGAAGCTTGTGTGACAAAAGGTGCCATTCATACCTCTGGCAGTGAGGACAATTTTATACTCTTATAGTATTCTGTGGAAAAATTTCCACCCCATATATGTAAAGTCTGTTTAGCGGTAGTTGTCAGGGCTATTGCCCTTCAAATCTATCATATTAGATGGGCTAAATGGAGGACAAACCCCAGTGCTTGTACATGATGTATTTGCCTTGTTTCGCTAAAATAATTTAAAGATTTAAATTTGCACCAGAAAATTTCCCCAGAAAACCCACATCACTGCCTCTTGGGCATGATTTCTATTCAATTCTACAAGGACACAATTTCACCCCAAAACACAGAGAACTGGAGTCCTCTTACTTCATTCCCATTCTGGTACCAGCAGGCAAGATTTGTCCAACATGCATGACAGAGTGAAGCCTGCATCCTAACCCAAAACAGTATGTAATAGAAAAGTAATCATTATTCTGAATTAACTAGTATGAGGTACAAAATCTTTTAAAGGGAGTTTATTCCAAGTATTCTTATCCCACTTCTTCATAGAGTGAAATGGCTAAAATGAACACTGAATAAAACAGGAGTCCAGTGGCATTGAAAGGGCTAACACGTTTATTCCAGCATACATTTTATTAACTTTTAAGATAAAACAAAACTCTGGTGGCATTTTAAAGACTCGCAACACTTATTTCAATGAGGGCTTTTGTGAGTCACGTGTCACTTCTTCAAACAGATGCTCAAAGGGAAAATTGTATTGGGAACTCTTATGTGGAAGATTAAAAAAGAGGGGTGTGAGGAGCCAAGGCTTGGTGTGAATTATACCATGAGTCTTTCAAGTGGAAGGGGAAAAGGAAGGAGGTGATTTAGAAAGATTAGGATTGAATCACATTATAGATCAACAGAATTAGCAGCTCCACATACTGGATGGTGATGGTGAGAATTTAGAGACTCAAACAGATAAGCAAATAGTTTAAGTGAAAATTAACTGATATTGGTACAAAGTTATTGTCTCATATAACACATTAAGATGAACCAATTAAAATGTCTAAAGAGTGGGTCTTTTAGAGCTATTAGACATAGTAGTGAATAAGAAAATCCAGGTCTCTGTTTAAACCAGGATAACATAAGAGAAGCCAAGCTGGATCAGTGGATCAGGCCAATGGCCCATCCAGTCCAACACTCTGGATCACACAGTGGCCAAAAGCAGGGGCCATCAGGAGGTACACTAGCAGGGCCACTGTGCCAGAACACTAGAAGCCCTCCCACTGTTGCCCCCAAGCACCAAGCATACAGAGCACCACTGCCCCAGATATAGTGTTCTATCTCTCTATACCTGGTGGCTAATAGCCACTGATGGACCTCTGCTCCATATGTTTATTTAATCCCCTCCTGAAGCTGTCTATGCTTGTAGCCACCACCACTTCCTGTGGCAGTGAATTTCACGTGTGAATTACTCTTTGGGTGAAGAAGTACTTCCTTTTATCTGTCCTAAACCTACTGATTAAAGCCATGAGCTCCTGTGAGAAAGGGAGAAAAGTACTTCTTTTGTAAACCTGTCACATCACCCCTCAGTTGTCATTTCTCTAACTAACCTTTCTTCATAGGGAAAGTGTTCCATCCCCTTAATCATTTTAGTTGCCCTTTTCTGCACCTTTTCCAATGCTATAAACTTTTTTCAGATGTGGTGATCAGAACCATACACAATATTCCAAATGAGGTCACTCCATCAATTTATACAGGGGCATTATGATACTGGCTGATTTCTTTTCAATTCCCTTCCTAATAATCCCCAGCATACTATTTGCCTTTTTTATTGCCATCATACACTGAGTCAACATTTTCAGTGAGTTATCTACCACAACTCCAAAATCTCTCTCCAGGGCAATCTCTGCCAGTTCAGACCCCATTAACATGTATTTATAGTTAGGATTTTTGGCGCCAATGTCCATTACTTCACACTTGCCCACACTGAACCTCATTCGCCACACTGATGCCCACTCGCCCAGCCTTGACAGATCCCTCCGGAGCATCTCACAATCCTCCCTGGCTCTCACCACCCTGAACAATTCAGTGTCATCCGCAAATTTAGCCACTTCACTCCCAACTCCAAATCATTAAACATGTAATGCTTAATTTTTTGAATGAGTTCTGGTTCGGAACTTTCATAATACAGGCCCTTATCAATCACACCTTCATGGCCTCATACACTTGTACATCAATCAATTTAATATTTGCGATGACAGGCCAACAATGCCCTCCTACTGTCTACACAGGACAAAAATCAGTCTCTGCATAAGAAAACTAAGGAACACAAATCAGACATCAAAATCACAACACTCAGAAACCAATGGAGGGCCATTTCAGTCTTTCTGGACATACTATTACAGACCTGAAAGTTGCTGTTCTATCCTTCCCCTCCCCCCCAATAAAACTTCAAAGAGGAATATACACTATGAAAATACTGAACTAGAATTCATCAAAAAATAAAACACTATTTGTCATCCTAGCTTTAAGGTGCCATTGGACTCCTGCTTTATTTTTGATGCTGCAGTAGATTGACTCAGTTATTCATCTTAAGCAACACCGAACATTAAGATTTCATAATAAAGAAACCACAAAGCTAGCAAAAGAAAAAGAAATAAAGAACGATTACAACATAAACTCCAAACAAAAGCAGAGTATAATCACCCAGATTTAGCCTCATAAAACTGAAGAACAATCTCAAAGCTTCCATTAAGCTTACGGAATGAAAATGAGCCCCACTCCAAATCGCTCTTACCTGGAATTCCAGCCCATAAATCACAGGCGCGTCATCCTCCATGGTTGCACCTACGCCGTTCCCCCAGTTCAGCGCAGTCACACCTGAGGAATTCCCACCGCAACCAGCAACATTACCGACGCTCCATTCAAGGGAGAAGGCGAACTGTCTAACAAGCCTCACAGGTCCCACTTAGGCTTCCGTCTTTGTTCCACTTCCGGGGGAAAAAGTGGAGGGAGACGTAAGAGAGACGCTCACTACGTACGAAAAAAAAAGGATGAGCTCTTCTCTGAACAGACGATGGGAGCGTGAACTCTACGCCGCGCATGCGCACTATTGGGAGCCTCTTCTGTTACCGGCAGTCTTTCCCTTGCATCCGTACTGCCCTTCCCATCTTCATTGCAGGCATCGCAACGGCCGCTGTCAGTAGGAGCGGGTGAGGTGTGGATCCAGATACGGGGCGGGGTTAAGATCTTCTTTCAATTACCTTTTCCGAGGATCTAGGGTAGTCTTTTTTAGCAAATACTACTTAAACCGTCCCCAGCATTAATACTCGTCTTGTGATGGCTCCTATGAGACTTTTCAAGCAACAGATTCAATGGTTAAAGAAGATTTGTGTCCGGGACTCTGACATTTAAGGCCACAGGCGGGGGATGTTATATAGTGGTGTGTTACCACCACCCAAAAAGAAAAAGGTTCCTTGAATTCAGAAAGCTGGCATGCCAGGGAGAATAGGAGGCTAGAAAACTTCTTCCTGATAAACTTGTTTGCAATATACAGGAAACTTTAGTGGCTTTTAGAAACCATATCAGATTAAATCATGTCATTTCCTCCCTTCCCATGCAGTGCCAAGTGGAACAGTCCAGAGACAGATAGTAAATCATGAGATCCTCCTCTTGCAATCTCAAATTGTGTAATATATAATTGATTTTTTAAATGTGCTTTCAGTAGTAGGTTTTAGGAAACATGTAGGTGCTGAGTATTCCCTATGACTACATGATGATCTGAAGTAGATGAATATATGTTGTGATATTTATATGTAGCTTAATAATGTCGGGTTATATCCCTCTATGTAAGTTGTCAACCTGTGTATAGTTCTTTCATAGTGTAAAATTATTTTCCGCCTAGTTGGAAGAAAGTAATAATTCCATCCATTTTACAGATGGGAAACTAAGGCTGAAATAAGCTGCTTTTGGATACTGAGACATTGTCAGAGCTGAATTTAAAGGTATGTTGAACATTAGCTCTGTTTCTTGTGCTTTTTTTTCTGAAAGTAGCACAAAGATGAGTTATAATCACTTTGTTTGTTGTCCATGACTGCCCTCGATGAGGCTCTACCTCTGAGGCTTCAGGTAAATATGGGTACATCATTGAACACGCCCTCAGAATTATGCATTCTGTCACAGCATCTGAGTCTATGTCCTGTTTTCTGTTGAAGCTGATTTGGTGCACATCCAGCTTTTCAGTGCATAAGCCATCCTGATTGCTGGTGGGAAGAAGAGGCCATGAGATAAGAAAGTTAATCCTGGCTTTGTGCAACTTCGGGCCCGGTCACACGGCAAAGTTGCCGCGGGAGAGGCACGGAAGGTGGGTGGATTATCCGGGCGTGATCACACCCCAACATCTGGGAAGTGGAGCGCACCTGTGGCTTACCGCCGACAATGCGCATTTAAAAACTAGTACCTCCAAGGTGCTAGTAAACGTTTGCCACGGGCTGCTTCCAGATGCCCGTGGTGTGATCCCGCCGGCGCACAGCATTCCCCTCAGGTCCCTCGTTTACCCCCTGGCGCCGAGGGAAGGATCCGTGGTGTGCCGCCGGCCCGTCTGATCACGTAATCGTGGATCAAACTGCACCGGGGCAATTAGCCACGCCTCCCCCCCGCGATATCCAGCCCATGTGACCGGGGCCATCATTCCCTTAACAGTCCCATGGAGCTTATCTTACTCTCCCTTCCTCCACACACACATCTTTAGACATGACTTCAGAAGTATTAGTGTGTCTCTGTGAGTGCACAGGTGAAGTTGTGTTTTGTCAGTGTTGCATAGAAATAACAGGTACGTAGAGAAATATACAAATTTTATTGTTGGAGTGCTACACATTTCCTGTAGTTCAGGTTCTACATTTAGATCCACTAGCCAGCTTGGTTTCAGTTTGCTCTTTATTCTCCGTGTGTCCATGTTTGGTGGAGTGGTTTGGAGTGGTGGTTAGGAGTGTGGACTCTAATCTTGGAGAACAGGGTTTGATTCCCCACTCCTCCACATGCAGCTTCTAGTGTGACCTTGGGTCAGTTGCAAGTTGTTTCAGAGCTGTTCTCTCAAGAGCAGTTCTTGAAAGAGCTGTCTCAGCCCCACCTACCTCACAGGGTGTCGGTTGTGGGGAGTGGAAGGGAAAGGAGATTGTAAATTTCTCTCAGACTCCTTCGGGTAGTGAAAGGCAGGGTATAAATTCAATCTCTTCTTCTTCTTCTTCCATTGTCCAGTCTGGGCCACTTACATGTTCTTTGCAATATCTCATGTTCTACTGATGCTAAATGAAGGCTATGGATTAGTAACATTATGGTAGTCTGAAACTGCAACTATATCATCTAGTTAACAGTTGACTGCTGGTAGCTAGCCAATCTCATTGTCACAGATGAGAGGAAGGATACTCTCCAAGCCTTGATTCTTCCATTTCCCATTTCTTCAGTAGGCCTGTCACTTTGTGAGTGATCAGCAATCCATCCTAGTGAGTATACTCATCCCTCCCCAACTAGTTTTGTTTCTTAAACAAGCTTGCTAAGAGACACAGCACTATCTTATGCAGAGTTACTACAGTCTGCGCTCATTGATTTCAAGATTTTACTCTCTAAAGGGCATCCATGTGCTAAGGTCCGTGCTAGTACATAAATGTTGTTACTCTCAGAAGGGTGCATTGTCCAGTTGTCCACAGGGGGGAAAGGTACCTCCCCCAGCAAACATCCAAGTGGGAAAACAATGTCAGTTGTACATGGTGCATTCTTCTTTTTTTAACTAAACCTAAACTGCATTTTCATTAGGCTTAGTAATGTTCCAGCATGGCCTACTGGTCCGAGAGCCACAGTGACATATTAGTTAGAATGTAACTAGGACCTGGAACAATCAGGTTCAGATCCCTGCTCTACCATAGAAACTCACCAAGTGACCTTGGGCCCATCTCTTTCTAGCCTAACCTACCTCACAGAATGTTTGTTGTGGAGATAGTTGTCCCCTGCTCCACACTCTATGATAAACCACTTTGCATCCCTGTTCAGTATTAAGGGCAGGGCAGTGTTGTATACTTTGGAGTCTACCCTTATTTCTGGTATCAGAATGTGTTAGGCTTTTATGACTTAGAAGGAGAAGCAGAACAGCTACACAAGATCCCTGTTGACAAACAGAATATGAGGCATGAGAAAGAACATGGAAAGGAAGAGAAAGGATGGAGGATTTCTCCCAAGCAATTATGTGCAATGTTAAAATGGTTGTGAAGATGTTAAAATGGTTGCAGTGTTAAAATGGTTGTGAGCCCGCTTGCGGGGAGGGCGGGTTATAAATATAATACATAAATAAATAAATAGTTCCTTTTGAAAAGTGATATAAATATTATTCTTTCCGGCATTTTTAAGATAAACTTGTACTCTGAGGCTGTGATCACACGAGCAGTTTGGCCCAACACAGCCACCCCTCCCCTCTGGATCAAATGGGCGCAGTCACACAGCCACATATGTCAGGCGTTCCCCTGTTATACTCACCTTATCACAGGATGACTTGGAGCCAGGTTAAAAAGGCACCACATCACAGGTGGTGTTTTTGGTTCCCCACACATTCATTGTGCATGGCCAGATGTCTGAATGCAGGGGAGCATGCGCAGAACGGATTTGGCAGTCTGAACCTGCAGATCAATTCCTGCTACTAGGGTGGTTTTTAAAAGTTTTCGCCTATGTGCGCATATACATACGCACATGCACGCACATGCATTTTGGAAATTTTTCAGGCAGTGCACTGCAGTAATGTAGATTCTTGGCCACAGGATGTCTGCGTGGGTAACCCACAGCAGAGTGTGCTGTCTGGATGATATGCCCCGCAACACTTTAAACCGGTACAGTTAGAGGTGGCACTATATCACGCCAAGGCATCAGTGTGACCATAGCCTGAGTCTCTCAGGTTTGACATAATCAGTATAAAAAAATATTATACAAGTTTACAAACTCATCTCATATTTGCAGCTCAGAAAAAACAATCATGAACACATTAAAACTTCACAGAAGATCATCTCAGCCACCATTAAAAAGCAGGCAGGAAGAACAAATACTATGCAAAAATAGGATTTGTCTTTTTTAATGGTAATGTCAAAACTCTACAGAAGCTCATCTTTTTTTCTATGAAATAGACATCTGGACACATAATGACTAATCAGAGCAATAGGACAGTGAAGGCTTTTGCTCTGGACAGTTCCTTGTTTCTGTTGTGAGAAAAGCAAATTAATACATTTTTAGATGAAAAGACAGTTTGTAGACGCACTGCGTCTGCATATGAAAAAGCAGGGATGTTCAGTTGTGCTGAGCCAAAATGGGAAGGGGCTCATGTTTTGCAAACTTCCCCCCCCCAAGAAACATCTGTTTCTCCTCAGTCCTGTGGGGGGCTCCCTTTGTGAAAGTGTGAGAAACTGAAAAGGGACAGGTTTGAGCTGATGAGCGTATGTGGTCATGCTGCTGAGACAGCTGGACTGGTGGTCCCTTACTTGAACCTGGATGACTAACTTATTTATCTGTTTATCTATTCAATGTATACCCTGCCCTCCCCACCAGAGCAGGCTCAGGGCGGCTTACATAAAAGTCAAAACACATAAAATAACAATTATAAAACAGTCATAAAATCCCGAACTATCATAAAGTGCTATTAACAACAAAAGTAATAATAATAGTATTGCATAGAGATGGCAGAACAATCATGTTGGAATATTAAAGTGGGATCCAGTCTGTGTTGATGAGCAGCTCATCTCGATCTATTTATGTGGCAAGCACAGGCTGCTGATGGGAGTCCAGGGGAATAGGGCCTTATCACAGTTCAGTTGTTAGATGCGGCTCCTTAATTGAAGGCCTGGTGGAACTGTAAAAGGTCCCACAGGACCCTGATGTCTTCTGGGAGCTCATTCTACCAGTATGGAGCCACCACTGAGAAGGCCCTGATTGTAGCCAGCCTGGCATCTTTGAGACCCGGGAGAGCCAGTCGATTTTGAGACCCTGAATGCAGTGCTCTCTGGGGAACATGTGGGGAAAGGCAGTTCCTCAGGTATCTAGGCCCCTGACCATAAAGGGCTTTAAAGGTAAGTACCAGCAACTTGAAGCGAATTCGGTGTGCTATCAGCAGCCAGTGCAGTGCTTTCAGGACAGGCTGGATATGCTTCCACATGGGGAGGGAGGCCCATCAGAAGTCTGGCTGCAGCATTTTGCACTAGCTGTAGCTTCCAGATTTGGGTCAAGGGCAGCCCCATATAGAGAGCATTACAGTAGTCTAATCTCGAGGTGACTATCTCATGCATTACTGTTGCCAAGTCGCTGCATTTGAAGAAGGGAACCAACTGCCAAATCGGCCGCAGATGGTAAAAGGCTGACTTGGCAGTGGCTGCTACCTGGGCCTCCATTATTAAGGAGGCATCCAAGAGCACTCCCAAACTCCTAACCTCCGGTGCTGGCAGAATATGGATGGGTGTTTACATTCTGCTTTATCTAATTGGTGGTGGAGGTGGTGGAAAGTGCTGTCAAGTCACAGCTGACTTACGGCGACCCCAGGGGGTTTTCAAGGCAAGAGATGTTCAGAGGTGGCTTGCCATCACTTGCCTCTGTGTCAGGACCCTGGTATTCCTTGGAGGTCTCCCATCCAAATACTAGCCAAGGCCATCCGTGCTTAGCTTCTGAGATATGATGAGATTGGGCTATCCGGGACATCTACTTGCTAGACTGTGGTAAAAAGTGTTGCTGCTGCTCAGTGCTTTTTGGCCGTGCAGCTCAGCAAGGCAGGAGATTTACCAGGTTGCCTAAGCAAAAGGGACAGATTCCATTTCCCCTTCCATTTAATGTGAGAATGAACACACGAGAGGGCTTCATTTGCCCTTCGTGATGTTGTCACATGGCCAAATCTGGCTACATGAAGCATGATGTGGTGGTGCTCACTATGTGGTTGAAAGATGCTAGGCAGAAAATGCAAAATAATATTGAGAGATGGGACTTTTGAAAGGCTTTCTGCACTCTTGGAAAGACCACTTTTTGTTTCAAAAACCACACAATATTTATTATATGGTGTACGCAATGGCGAAGATTAAAAGCATAAGGTCTTAATATCAGACTGTATAAAACATCAGCATGAGCTTTACATAAGCTGTAGTAGTTTCACATACAAAGTTGATGGTTTCACATACACAGTTGATGAATATCTCAGATGACCAACAAAACCATACACATTTCAGCCTCTAGGACAGGGGTGTTGAACTCATTTGTTATGAGACTCAGATCTGACATAAATGAGACCTTGTTGTGCCAGGCCATGTGTGTCATAAAATGTAATGCCAGGTAGCAGAGATATAAACTTTATAAAGGACGCAGACAAACACAACTAAAGATTTTTAAACTTTAAATAAAACATGCTTAAGCACTAGCAGTCTTGCAATATTTTGTCTATTTAACAGTCTCTAATAACTGACACCTGTGCTATCTTGACTGGGGTCCACCAAGACTATACATGAGAAGCTAGAAACATGGTCCGAAATCAAGGTCAGTAACAAAGCCAAAGGTCAGATAGCCGGGAAGTTGAGTCAAGATTGCAAGTTTCCCAGGAAAAAGAGCAGCTGCTGCACACTCAGAAGCAGGTCTGATTATGCAGAGTTGCCGCTGCGCTGAAGCAGCTGCACAGAGGGTTTTTGAGCAGGTTCTTCCTTCCCTGGGAGTTGAATCTGCAAAAGCTTACAACTCCTCCTGTTGCCTTTGCAGGAGCTGCAGTCTGGCACTCTTTCTTCGCTCCTGCATAGTCAGCCTCTGGCGTGGCCTACGTCTGGGGCACTCAGGAGAACTAGGCAGGGAGATTGGCCTCGGGGTGGCTGCAGCTGAGGGTGCTGGCCCAGGTTCAGGAATGATCTCTCCATCTGGCTGCACCTCTTGTGCAACTGCTGGAGAATCTTCCTCCTCAGGTACTGTTGAGGGTTCTTCTTCTGGGCTGACTCCAGGGGAGGCTGAGTTGCTCCCTGCTTCTTCTTCGTCTGAGGAGTCAGCCTCAGCTGAACCAGTACCCATGGACCCTACCTCTGCTCTAAATACTTGCATCAAAATGTCTGTGCTGTAGCAAACCTCTGCTCTGAATACTTGCATCAAAATGTCTATGCTGTAGCAATTTTGAGCCTGATGTTCAGGTGTGTCTCTGTTCTGGCTGTTCCCTCTCTCCCCTGGGGGGGGAGGAGGAAGAGGAGTCTCAGCTAGTTCTTTACCAGACTCTCTCAATCGCACAGAAGAGCCTTGCCTATTGATCTCTCCTGTGCGACTGAGAGAGACTGTTAAAGCAAGCTGTAACATGGCAGCAGAAGCAGAACTGCAAATGGACACAGGAAACAGCCAGGGCCTTGCGGCCCAGATTGGGATTCTCCAAGGGCCTGATCTGGCCCACAGGCCACATTTTTGACACCTGTGCTCTAGGGCCTTTAGTGGTCCATAATATATACTATTTCAAAAGACACACATTTCAGAAGTTAATATATAAATCCAGGCTAGGAGTTGCTTTTTCATATGTTGTGTGGTTGCTGAAAGTTTATAAAGCAGGTCATGGATCCCTTCTCATGGTAACTGCGCTCACACAACAAAAGCTCTAATGATATAGCAATCTGGTATAAAATAAAATGTCTCTGGATGTGTGTGTCATCAGAAAGCACACAACATGGAAATGTAGTTCACCACCAATGATAGCATGTTAAAGCAATCCAGAGGAAGCCGATTTCCAAGGCAAGTGGTTGTTCACATTCAAAGCTGCATACCTGTGTCAGCCTAGCTGTAAATAAGCACTGTTGAATTCAATTCCAGTCAAGATGCAAGACTGCTAATAGAACTTTGCTCTTGTATGGGAAAGGGCTTGCCTGTTACTGAACAAATCTCTTATGCATTCATTTGTGCATGTGCTTACAGCCAGATAAACTAGATTTTAGTTAGCAAAAAATGGTGAGAGAAGAGGGTGGAATAGCTGGGTTAGTTCTTTAAATAGCAAGCTGAAATCTAAAGCTCTGTGCAACTAATTCTTTGGCTAGAATTGGGTGGGAAAATTTTGGACTTGTTTTTCAGTCTCTGTGATTACAAGGCAAATTGCTTTGGGGAGTCTCAAAGGTTTATATGGATAGAGATCAGCTCTTCAATGATTTTTTTTTTTTAAATCCTGCTAGGTGCTCCTAAATTATTCCTTGGATACTAGCTACAAGACAGATGTAACCGTGGGACAGACTGGAAGCTGACCCTCTAAAAATTAGACCTCCTTTCTCAGATCTCCTAAATTTCAAACTCTCTTTCAAGCCTTATTAACCATGGCCTGTCATAGGTCTTTATTTACTTCATATATGCCCCGCCTTTGTCTCCAATGAAGATCCAAACTGGCTTACATTGTTCTCCTTTCCTCCATTTTATCCTCAGAACAACCCAAGGTCACCCAGTGAGTTTTTTGGCAGCATGGGGATTTGATTCTGGCTCTCCCAGATCCTAGCCCAACACTCTTAACTACTACACCACACTGGCTCTGCATTGGTGCTCACCATGATTAGCCTTAACCTGGTTCCAAACTCTGATTTAAGATGGTAGTTTGTGCTTGAGAAAAGGGAGGGGGAAGCAGCATGAAATCCTGAGTGGGCTCCCAGTGTGCAAAGGAAGCATTGCACCTGTACCGTTGTTATGGTATTCATCACCTGTGTATTATAAACTATTTTGTTAATTAGCTGTTGTAGATTTTCTGGGCTGTATGGTCATGGTTTTGGCATTGTAGGACCTGATGTTTTGCCAGCAGCTGTGACTGGCATCCTCAGAGGTATAACACAGAAAGATGGACACTCTCTGTGTCAGGGTGAGAAAAAAATGGTAGGCAGGTAATTTATATCTACTCAGGAAGGTGGGGCAGGGCTGAGTCATTATCTTGTAGGAGTTCCCCAGGTTGTGACGTGCTAATGGAGGAGGTTCTTTTGCATATGGATTGGCTGTTGAAATTCTTATCTGTAGTGCTATTGTAAGATGTAGAGCCATACAGCCCGGAAAATCTACAACAATTAATGAACTCCAGCCATGAAAGCCTTCGACAACATATTTTATTAATGTCTTTCTGAAATCTATATTGCTTGTTAGATTATTTTAAGGCAGGGTATTCTTTATTTTCTATTTGAAATAAGTATGTAGAAATGAAGCTATTGTTTTATGCCCAAATAGCACTAAGGATTGGTTGCTAGCAAGCACATTCATTCATATTTTTTATTCAGAGTGACTATGGAAAGCAAAGAATGCCATGTTGAGGGTGCCATGACAAGAAATGATGTGTGTGCTGATCAGCAGCAAGCTCAGGAAGAATTTATCTTTCATGAAGAAACCATTGATCTTGGAGGAGATGAGTGTGAGTCTGAAGAAAATGAGACCATCTCAGAAGATTCCAATATCTTCATGGATAAACTTAATGAGAACTTGATGGAGAGTGTCATCATATCAGATTCTCCAAATAATAGTGAAGACGATACTGGTGATCTTGGTTGTCTGCAAGAAATGGTGAAGCAAATGGAAGTCAAAGACCTTCATGCAACAGAAGGGGAGACAGGGAAAGAAGCTATTAACACAGAGAGTGAAATTGAACATAGAGTTGCCCCTCAAGATATTTCTGATGCTGGAATCGATGATCAGCCCACTCTAAAAGAAGAGTTGATTGAGGCAGAAGCAATAGATGAACTGAAGGTGGGAACAGATGCAGAGTTAAGTAGCGTATCCAGCAGTATCGATGAGAACAAAACTGAAGAAAATATATCCTCACCCCTTACAACAAAACCGCCTGTGGACTCTGAGCCTATTCCCGTGTGCACCATTTTCAGCCAAGCAAATCATGTGAATAGTCAGCAACAATTCTTGCATGATGGCTTTGAGCCCCAAATGGTTAAGTCGCCCAGTTTGGGTGGTATAAGTGAGACTCCTGTGAAGACAAATCCACAAGTGGTTCAGCCAAGCCCTAGCTTAAGCAAGTTTTTTGGCGAGGCCATTAATACCAATACGCTAGCTTCTGATTTTTTTGACTCATTTACTACGTCGTCTTTTATTTCCGTGAGTAACCCTAATGCAAGCGCCTCTGTACCAGAACAAATGTCTTCTCTTGTGACAGCTGGAGAGTCCCGTGACTTTGCTGACCCTAAGTACTCTGCAAGAAGTGGGAGATCTACCTCTTCTCCAGAAATGTCACAGTCTCCAAAGCCGTTCTCCCAGATCCAAGCTGTTTTTCAAGCTAGCGATGACCCTTTTGCGACTGTGCTCAACATGAGTGAGATAGACAGAAGGAACGATGCTTGGCTTCCTAGTGAGGGAACTAGGAATGTGCTGATTTCAGTAGCTACACAGCCGTATAGTACTGTTTTCATAGACAAAGAGAATCTCACAATGCCTGGCTTAAAATTTGACAACATTCAGGTAAGAGTTTTCAGCTTGTTTCTTGCTTTTAAGAAATGTGTATGAATTCTAGCTACTCAGAAAGAAACGAACAGCAGTTTGCAAAGGCACTTGGGATTCAGGTGTCACAGGCAATTGGAGTTAGGCTGAAGACTTGAGTCTTTGATCTTGCCATGTTGCATGAGGGAAGGAGGCAGCACAGGAGCTTGCCCATTAACCAGGTTTGCGGCTATAACAAACAAACAAACCAAGGTTTGCTTCTGATTTCTGAGTTGAGTTATAATTTTAATTATTTGAGAGCTCCTTTCAGATATTTGATATGTGCCCAAAGAAGATTGTGACTTGCCTTTTAATGCAATTTGTTGATTTGGCTGCCAGTATACTCATCCCCTCCTCTTCTAGCACTTATTCCGACAATTGTTACTCCCCCAGCATTAACTGACAAGCAGCTGTTGTATACTGTGCTTTTAAATCAAAGGTTGCTTAGCAACTAACAGACCTCAAACAAAGCCACCTCTGTCGCTAGCATTCTAGATTGGAGTGTGTGTGTTGGAGTTAGTAGTAATGGTGGATCAATGTGAATATGAGAGGGGGGAAAGCAGGAAGACTCCCATCCATCCTTAGAAGGGATCCAGACAAAATACAATGATTGTCATAAACAATAGGGATGAAAGCAAATTGTTCTCCTAAAGAGGCAAGCAATTTTTGGAAAGGCTACTGCCTGTACACCAAACTGAATGTAGGACATGGGAAAACAAAGACATTCTCCAGGGTTTCAGCAAGCAGTGGGAAAAATGTTGGAAGTTATTTTAATCTTGGTGATATACGGGGGGGGGTTTGTAGAAAAATCCCAGCAGGAACTCATTAGCATAATAGGCCACACCCCTGACCGCGCAGGTCATTGGCATATTAGCCCACACCTCCATGCCTTCCCTCGGCTTGCCTGGGTGCCCCGCGGCTGCAGGGAGCCCAGGCAAGCCGCCCCTTGGACAGGCTGGGGAAGGCATGGGGAGGCCTGGCCTGCCTGCCTCAGAGCCACAGGGGGGCGTCACTCTCCAGGCCTTCCCTCCATAGCCACGCACACAGAGGTTTTGGCTGTAGTGGGCGTGGCCAACTCTGAAGCCAGCCGGAACTCCGTTCCTCTGCGTTCCTGCCCAAAAATAGCCCTGGATATATAAGGTTTTTTAAAAGAAAATTATTATTCTGGTGCTCTTTAGAAATCACTGTAACCAGCCTAGAGTCTTTTTAGGAGAAAGATAGGCTAAAAATTCCTTAAATAAAAGTCTGAGCTCTGTTAATTATGCATAGGCTTGTCCTCCCTCTTTCTCTTCATAGTCCCATGATTTGATGGGCACCAGAAGGAAGTAGTTGATTTTAAAGATACGAGTTTGAATCCCCAAGACCTTGATTGTGGGTGCCTGAAGTTTTCCTATTTAACTTAGGTTCAAACATTTTGATTTTTTTGGTGGTAGCTGTTGACTTGTCTTCCCACTCAGGCTTCTCCCCCTCTAGTAGTAGTTTTTCTTCTGTCTTTTTTTTCTTTCATTCTCTCTTCATATTGTTGTCTGTCGGGATTTGAAATGGCATCAACAGCTGTTTGCTAGTCATTGTCTGCCATAGCAGCTCTTAGTTTGTCTGTGGTATTTCCGAGGCAGAGGCCAATGAGGCTGCATATGCAAATAACCTCTGTGTTCTGACTGGCTATGGGGGGGGGGGGGAACTGCAGAATGTTTAGAATGTTGGAGGCAGGACTCAGGCAAAGCAGCCAGTGAATAGGGAGACCCTCTGATAGACAGATCAGAGAGCGAACTGATTTTGGAGCGTGCGGAATGTTCTAGAGAAGTGCCACCACCATTCGGCTTTTATTTATAAGGGAGAAGGGAGATGACACAGGCTGTGCATTATCCCTGTATACTGTCCCTGTATACTGTGGAAATGGGAGGGTGGGCATCAGGGAGATACTATAAGGAAATACTATAAGAGTGTTAATGTCTTAAGCATGTTTGTATTTTGAGTAAAAAATAATATCACAGGTTTGCCTGTGTCCTTTATAAAGCTTGTATCTCTGGTATCTGGCATTACATTTTATGGCACACACGTCCCGGCCCGACAAAGTGACATTTATGTCAGATCCAGCCCTCATAACAAATGAGATTGACATCTCTGCTGTAACCACTATAGTTGCAAAAAAAAAAAAAAGGAGCGGTGGTCCTATGAATGGGAGGAGCTGCCATTTAAATTGTCTGTCCAGCTTAGTTGCAGATGTATTGGTACCTTTTAAAAGTAGCACAATGTTTGTAGGGGAATCTGTGAATAGATTACTAAGCACTGGTGGGTAATGAGTTATGGACTCTGCTCTTTCCTTGCACAAATCTCATTAGCAGATTATATAACAAATTGCTGGTCTGCATACATGTTTTGACAACAGCAAGTTTGGCCTGTTAGTACATCTAGCACCATTACAGGACAGTAAAATGTATTTTCCAAATTACTGGCAAGATGTTGTTTCTGCAGACACACAAAGGGCAACTTTTTTGAACAAGATGCTCATTGTCCTTCTTTGACACAACAGGCAATTTTAGTTGTTTCAAAAGTTGTGCTTTTGATTAATGTTAAATTCCCATATGTTGTCAAATACCAGAAGCTGCAGGTTTTGCACACTTACTTTTTCTAGCATGAAGCTTTAAAAAAAAAATGGTTTCCCTGTTGAACATAGGAATCATGTATTTGAGGCCACAGTTAACTCCAAAAGGCTTAAACCACCCAGCCCCCCAAAAAACCTTGGGAGAAAAACATTGATAACTGTCTGGTGCATCGTTTTTCCTTAATAATAATAATGCAACCCATTTGGTGTTCAAAAAGAAGCTGTCTACTAGAAATGTTTGTTGATATTACCAATTTTTTTCTCTTAGGGAGATGCCGTAAAAGACTTAATGCTCCGCTTCCTTGGTGAACAGGCTGCAGCAAAGAGACAGGTTCTAAATGCCAACTCAGTAGAACAGTCTTTTGTAGGATTGAAGCAGTTGATAGTAAGTAACACCAGGTTAAATTTCTTGGTGCATGTTGAATACTGTGATTCTCCTCTGCGTAGATGGGGTGGCAGGCCTTATGTTATCAGCTTAGAACTGAAGATTTGCAAGTCTCCTGGGTCAAGTACCTCCACTGAGACAGTTGCTTTTATATTCACCTGAGCCATTATATTGGACCGACGAACACAGAGTGCCAAATCTTAAAATACATTTGCTTACTTCTGTCTTATCAAAAGTGGTGGTTGCTTGTCTCTCACTTCAGGGCTAGTGTTCCTGCTCTCCCTTCAGCATGATTCACATACCCCAGGTCTGCTGATGACATTATATCCCTTCTAACTCTGGGCTGCCTGAAATTCAGTCTGTAAAGGATGGTGGGTAGGAAAAAAGGCTACAGCCCTAGAAAGACAGAAAGTGTGCCGTAGCAGAGGTGTGTTTATGGCATTGGGCTTAATGAGACAACCCCAGATGGCTTAAGCTAGAGAGTTATTTCATGCATTAAGGAGAGAGCTTTCTAAAAAGTGCCATGATAGCATACCCATCTGGTGGTTCACTTTTGCTGTCTGCTTGGAAATTCAATTTCCTGTCTTAAGCTCACAGGCTACTAAACTTTTGTAGTAATAAAACCTGTTTTGTGTCTGAGATGTTGGTAATTTGGAAATAACATTGCTTCTCTCTCAAGAGAGTATGTGTCTCACTTCACAATCTGCATGATGAATATTTTGAATACTGATTTCTCATATTTGTGTGTTGTTGCATGAGACATTCCATTGCCTGTAGAACAAATTAAGCCAGCCAGCTAGTAGTGCTATCTTCTGGTAGCAAGTTGCTTTAAAAACCTATTTTTGGCACA